GAGACAGAGGACAGGTCTGCTCAGGCCACTTCATGGTAGGAAGCTGCTCTACAGATGCTAAAGCAAGATGGAGAATCAACAGTTTTCTGAAAGCAAAGCAAAACCAAATGACAACAGTAAGCAACACTCCTCCCTTTCACAGGGTGACTGTCTGCCCTTACAATTGCTTTTTTTTTTCCTGAGTGCTTTTAGGTGGTATCTCTATGTCTATTAGTTTCCTAAAGCTTCTGTATCGAGCTATTGTAATGTATCTGGCTTAGAATTACAGAAATGTGGGGTTAGGGTTGCCTCTCCAAGGCAGAATGCTTGCCCAGAATTCTCTAGGTCATGGGTTTTGTCCTCAGCACTGCGAATGGGGGTGAGAGGTGAAGGCTGGGCATGTTGGTGCACAGCTATAATCCCCACATTCAAGAGGATCAGAAGGTCTACACAGCAAGATAAGGCAGAAGGGAAGGAAAGAATCATAGAATAACCCCCACTTAGGGTGGGGGATTTAGCTCAGTGGTAGAGTGCTTACCTAGCAAGTGCAAGACCCTGGGTTTCATCCTCAGCTCTGGAAAAAGAAATATACCCCCCCCCCAATTATTCTCCTTACAGTTCCAAAGGGCAGATGTATATAATCAGTGCCAGTAGCATTGCATGTCCCAGAAAGCTGGGCAGGACATTGTACATATACCATGCATCTCTACTAATTTTGGGGAGCACTGGCAATTATTTGCAGACCTTGGCTGATGGCTACCCTATATCTGCCTCAGTCTTTACATCATCTTTTTTTTCCTGAGGCCCCATGTCTTCTCTTATAAAGGCAACAGTCTAGGGTTGTAACCTAAATTCAGAGTGATCTCATCTCAAGAGGTTAACTTAATCTGCCAAGGCCCAGCATCCAAATAAGACTACATTTACAGGTACTGTAAGTGAGGACTGATGCATATCTTTCTGAGAGATAATATTCAGCCTATAAAAGTTGAAAAAAAAACAACAAAAAACCAGTCATTTGAGTAAGCAATATACTTGACTTTTTCCATTGAAGGCATCCCCAGGTCTCTTGGTCATACTATAACATCCTGGGGCCTATCTATTTGGACAGTTTAATTTCTGGAAACAGTGCACATTCTTTTTTTCCCCGCTGCCCCGGACTCATAGGTATTCAAGCTGCTGGTGGCACAGAGCCCCCTTATTGTGTGGTGTGGCCTTACCCCTTCCGTAGACAGGATGCTTATGACAAAGGCTGGAAGGCAGTACCTGTCCACTGAGGCCCATTCCCTGTTAATTTTTTTTCTTTTAGAAAACAAACAAAACAGGATTAGTCATTTTATTTTCTAGGACAATGACATACTTCTCTTTTTAAAAGTATGATATTTAGTATGGGAAAGAATAAAGAACATGTACAGCATTGAACAGAAAAATGACATATTTAGGCATTGTGATGGAGCAGAGGAAAGTTTTCTTAGAGCCCCCCCACTCTCTCTCTCCCTCCCTCCCTCTCTCTCTCTCTCTCTCTCTCACACACACACACACAATACACACACATACACACACACATTTCTACTATTAGGACAGTTTACTAAAATAACCACAAAACATCTCCCATATCATTTCCACAGCCGAGAGTGAAACCGTGGTCCAAATAGCATGCCTACCCCTTGATGCTTGCTTAGCATATGGCATGAATCACCCTTTCCAGTTTGTAGATTGGCAAGAAGTCTGTTTTAGCCCAAATCCCTGGAAACTCTTAGTGGAGTTCCCAGGAAAAGCATAGTAACAATAGTTAAAGTCATTCCACAGTAGGAAGCCAGCTGTCTACGGAAATAGTGGTGGGGCACTGCATATAGCGGGTTTCCTTCTATGAAATGGATGCTCTGGATTTCTGATCAACTCACTCTGGGAGAGATAGATAGACCTATGGGAGAAGACAAGGTCTTTTGATCTTCTTTTAGCCCTTGAACTTGAACCTGTGTCTGCTCTACAATTCTATACCAGATAATTCTCAAGATGTATGGCAAATAGGAAAGGACTTGAAAGACAAACTGTTAACTCAAAGACCTATTATCTTATTTTTACAGAAAAACATCAGATATGCTCCAAAGAGAAAACCAGAAACAACCAATGGCATTCGAGATAGCACTGAGTTTGTGTTTTTCTACACCTAACAGGACTCCACCACCTATAAGTGCATCAGTGAGATGAAAAGGAACAAAAACAGATATTATTTGGTTTATCAGGTGTGGTGGTTTGAATGAAAATAGCCCCCATGAGCTCATATGTTTGAAGTCTTGGTCGACGGTTGGTGGAACTGTTTGGTGTGGCCTTGTTGGAGGAGGTACATCACTGGGAGTGAGGCTTTGAGATTTCAAACAGCCCACACCATTGCCAGTTAGCTCCTTCTGCCTAGTGCTTGTGAATCAAGATGTAAGCTCTGAGCTTACATCCTGCCTGCCTTCTTCCCTGCTCTCTACCAAATTAGGTCATAGACTCTAATGTTCTGTAACTATGAGCCCCTAATTTAAGTGCTTTCTTTTATAAGTTGTCTTGATCTTGATGTTTTGTCATAGCAATAGAAAAGTAACAAAGACACAAGGGTAAATGAACAAGTAACTACATCTGTGTTAGCTTTCTGTTGCCGTAACCAAACACCAGAGGAAACGAATGTAGGAGCAGAAAGTTTATTTTGGTTAATAGCTTCAGGATTGGTGACATACTATGACTTCCAATCCAAGGGTTAAGTCCCTGAAGGATGCTTAGTTTATCTGGGTGTCTGAAATTGTTGCCTAGTACCAAGGATGTTTCTTTAATTCTCTTTTGAGATTTATTTACTTTATTATTTGATGTGTATGAGTGCTTTGACTGCCTGTATGTATGTGTACCACATGTGTGCCTGGTGTCCATGGCAGTCAGAAAAGGCCCTCAAATTCCCTAGATCTGGAGTTACAGATGGTTGTGAGCTGCCATGTCTGTGCATGCTGGGGATTGAACTTAGGTCCTCTGCAATAGCAACAAGGGATTTTAATGCTGGGCCAACTCTCCAGCCCCAAAGGATGTTTCTTGTATAATGAACTCATCTAGACATCTTGCATCCTTTCTAAGATTTTGTTTCATTGGATAATCAGAAACATTAAGGCTGTATTGGTGTATAAGACTAAAGATTCCAGTTTATGAACAAACCAGAGACTACTGGTGAATCCCTAATCTAGTAGCAAGCATCAGTCTCCTCTAAGTTGCTGAAGGCATTGTCTTAGTTGAAAATCCAGAATAGTTTTTTTTCCTTATAGGAGCTGCCTTAACTGCTCGCCTCTGTCCACAAATCACCTTGATGAGAGAGCGAGAAATTACAGATACCTCAATTTTGCCTTTATTATTATTATTTATATGGCCAAAGGGTGATGTTGTGACTCAGAAAACAATTCCACAAAGCATTGTATTTTGGCATGTGGAGAATTTGACCTGATGGAGAATAGAAGTCCTCAGTGATTGTTGTCTCATGGCTTCTGTCTCCTGCCACCCCTTTTCCTGAGCTCCCCTGAATCAATTTACAGAAGCAACAATTATTTTCTATTGTAACCATAGAAGTTATGGGGTGGGGAGATGACTGAGTAGTTAGGAGCACTCCTTTCTCTTCCAGGGGACACAGATTCTATCCCTCCACACACACTGGGTGGTTCACAACCACCTGTAACTTTACCTCCAAGAGGATCTAATGCCTCTGGCTCTATGGGCACCGGTACTCATATGAACACACCTACACACACACACACACACACACACACACACACACACACCTACCTTTCCTAGTTGATGGACTGGGGTGTGGCTTAATGGCAGGCCACTTGTCTAACATGTCTGAGGCTTTGAATTTTATCCTTAACAATGCAGTCAACCAACCAATTAATTGGTCAGCCAGCAAATGGGTCTGGTGGTGAACATTTATTCCAACAGTGGGGTGTCTGAGACAGGAGGATTTTGAGCTTGAGGCCCGGACTACACAGTTAGACCCTACCTCAGAAACATAGAAACAGTTAGTAGAGTTGTTGACTAGTGTGCATAGGGCCCTGGGTTCAATCCCCAGCATCAGCATAAACTGGTCTTGGTGGTACATACTTGTACCCCCAGCACTTGGGTGGTGGAAGCCAGAGGATCTGACTTTCAAAGTCATCCTTGGCTGAACAGTGAGTTCAGGGCCAGTTCCAGCTACAGGAAACCCTGTCTCAAACAAACACTCTTAGTTCGTCAGGCTTAGATGGCTCTGGTGCTCAGGGTTCCAACATGAGCAAATCAATATAAATAGTAAAAAACAAAAATCCCACAATCGGGACTCAACCTTTAAGTGGTGACTTTCCACTCTAACACTCACGATGTATTCCACACTGATCTCCAACCGGTGATCTTCCCAACCCAATGTGTACATAATCACATTCTAACCCACATTCTAACCCCATGAAGCCCAACACTAACCAATGGGAAGAAACAGCAATAAATGAAGCCAGAGGCTAAACCTGGAAAATATCAGAGGATGCCCTGCCCTGACCTCCTCCACCCAAAGCCCTGACTTGGGCCTAGGCACAGCAGAACATTCCATGCTTCCCAGGCTTCTGCCCAGCTTGGGGCTCAGCAGCAGTGAAAACTTAGGTTATATCTTATCTCTTTAACTCCTCCAACTCCCTATACAACCTTTCTTTGATTACTCTATGCATGAATGAAAATTTCAGTGGTCCATTCTTTGCTGTGGGACAGCATAGGCCTGAAAGAGGCCCCCCAGGGAAATGGTCGAACGTAGAGCTCAAACTCAGAGAAAAAAGGGGAAAAAAAAAAAAAAAAAAAAAAAAAAAAAAAGGCTTGCAGTGTATCTCTAGGCTAGGCCAGCCTGCTTCCTTCCCCCAGATCCTGGGGCGGAGCCCTCAAAAGAAACCCCATCGGACTTCCCACCCCCTGCTCGGCCTCCTCCTTCTCCCTGGGCCAGAGATGCCAACTCCGCCCGACTGAGTCACCGCCTGAGCGGCAGCGGAGGCGGAGAAAAGCGGCCCAAGCCCAGAACGCAGCCATCAGCCACAGAGCAGGCAGGGTAGTCAGAGATCATGGGGGAGAGCACGCTGGAGTCCGGGCCTGTGCCCGGGGCGCCGGCTGGGGGCCCAGTGCACGCCGTCACCGTGGTGACCTTGCTGGAGAAACTGGCCACCATGCTGGAGGCGCTGCGGGAGAGGCAGGGTGGCCTGGCGGGCTCGGTGCGCCGCATCCAGAGTGGCCTGGGCGCACTTAGTCGCAGCCACGACACCACCAGCAACACACTGGCGCAGCTGCTGGCCAAGGCGGAGCGCGTGGGCTCTCATGCCGACGCAGCCCAAGAGCGGGCGCTGCGCCGCGCTGCTCAGGTACAGCGGCTGGAGGCCAACCACGGGCTGCTGGTGGCGCGCGGGAAGCTGCACGTCCTGCTCTTCAAGGTCAGTGACCTTAGGCATCCCTTAGTCCCCGCCTCTAGTCCACCACCTTGGGGACTCCCGCCTTCCAGCGGTACACCATGTCCCTTCCTGACCCTACGTGCGGCCCTCAGCTGTGGAACAAACCCTCAGAGCCGCACCCACTTCTCACTTCCTACTTCGCGGGGCCTTATCCATCTCTCACTCCCAGTCTGGCCAATCCACACCCTCTTCGGTGTAGCGCGGCCAGTTCGCAGATTTACTCAGTGCCAACCACAAGAAAATAAAGGCTGTGGCGTTTCGCTGCCTCCTGCAAGCGCCCATACACCTTGTTTCACACCTTATAGGGCTTCATCCACTTTGCCAACCTTCACTGCCTACTGTCCCTTCTCCCTGCTCATCCCTCTGCTCCCGGGGCCCCATCTTCCCACTTCTCTCATTTGGCTCCAATTCTCTCCCTCACCCCCCTCCCCGCCCTCCCAAGGCAAAGGGTGGAGTATCTTCCTTTGGTGTGACCGCAGGGAGAGAGTTTCAGGCAGGCTCTGGCTAAGTGACTGCCAGAATGAAAGTTGTGTCATCACATTCAGGAGGAGACTGAAATCCCAGCCCGCGCCTTCCAGAAAGCACCAGAGCTCTTGGGCCCTGAGGACCAGTCGGTGCTGGGCCCAGAGCAGCCAGAGGATCAAGTCGGAGAGAGTTCCGACGAGGATCCAGTGGAGTCCCGGGCTCAGAGGCTGCGACGCACCGGCTTGCAGAAGGTACAAAGCCTAAGAAGGGCCTTTTCCAGCCGTAAAGGTCCTGAAGCAGCACAGCCCATACCAGTCAAGCCGCCACGCCTAGGGCCTGTCCGGATCTCTGAAGGCCCACCAGATGGCCAGCCTGCAGCTCAGCCAGCTGCGCTGGAGTCCTCAGTAGAGTCTGCTCTGGAGCCAGAACCTCCTCAGGCTACCAATGAAGATTCTGGGAGGCCTGCACTTCAAATAGAGAGTGCAGCCTGATCACTGGAGCTGCCTACCCCACTTGGTGCTTATGCATTGTCCTAAAATAAATCCTTAAAGCATGCAGCACTTACACCCAAATAAGGAGAAAACCCTGAATCCACTGCCCAGTTCCCATCCTCCCTTCCTGGCCTTCTAGTCTGGTAACCTGTATCCTCTGAAAGAGGAACATTCGGCCTAATTTAGGCTCACCAGCAATAAAAATAATTTCATCCAACTCAGACTCCATGTGAAAGGGCGGGTGAGGATGGGCATGGGGTGGGGAAGGCAGGAGGAGGGGTAAGTGTGATGGAGCCTGGAATGGGTGGAATGGCAAATGTTTCTCACTTTTCACTGAATCCTGGGTCTCCTCCATTGGCATAGAGAAATACCCTGCTGGTCACCTACTGTGGGGACATACATATAAGTGAAGTTTTGCCTGCTGGGGGGATGCTGTATAGGTTTTTGATGGAAATGGCCAGTTAAATGTCAGCTAATGCTTTCCCATTTAGTCTCTTTGACCCTGTCATTCCCTATAAGTTGAGTTTCACAGGGCTCTTAATCAGGCTTGTTTCCACTCTTTCTGCTTCTAGTGTCTGGCGATCACTCCGATGTCTATCTTGGCAGCTACATACATCCCAGGCCACTGGGGTGCAGTGCAGTGGAAAAGCAATCCAAAAGTAGCACTTGTTCTACTTACGTTCTCCTGCCAAAACCAAAACACACAAACCACTCATTGTTTTCAAAAACAGATGAGTAACTGCATAGGTTGAGTCTAGGCCACTTAGAATTGAGCATCTCTCACAAAGAGACAGCACAATGAACTGACTTCTACGGAAATGAATAAAAAAAAGTTTACAGTCTTCATGTCAATGCATAAAAAATAAAATAAAATAGGATCTGGATGGTTTTTAGATTTTTGATAGGGTTTGAATCTGAAACGTCCTCTGAAGGCTCATTGCTGGGAGCTTGGTTGCAAGCTGTGAGTGAGTGCATGCGCGCGCGCGTGTGTGTGTGTGTGTGTGTGTGTGTTTTGATTTAATAAATGTTTTAAGCCCTTGATGGATCCTTAGTATGTTATTGTTATTGGGAGATGGTGAAAAGTAGGAGGTGAGGCTTAGTTGGAGAAAGTATGTCACTGGGTATGTGCTCCAGACAGATGTGCCTATCTGTTTCCTGGCTGCTATTAGGTGAGCAGCCTCAGCCAGATATGCCTGCTGCCATAATCTGCTTCACTTCAGGCTGAACACCATCTCCCTAGCCCCCATTAAAAATTTTAAAATCAAATGAGGAATTCATTTTATACTGAATGCATAATAGAATCAATAAGTGCAGTGCTAATTTTTCTTTGCAGGTACACATCATGTCAGTTTCCATGGACTTTGAAATATTCTAGAATATTCAAGTGTTCACAACCATTTGGTGGACACTTGACATCTAGCACAAGCCTGGTCACAATACCAGTGAGCATGTCAGGGGGAGGGTTATCTAACACCTCATTTATTTATTTTGGTTTTTGGAGACAGGTTCCTCTGAGTAACAGTGCTAGCTGTCCTGGAACTAGCTCTGTAGACCAGGCTGGCCTCATACTCAAGAGATCTGTCCCTACTCTGCCTCCTGAGTGCTTTGATTAAAGGTGAGTGGCACCGCAGCCTGGCTAACTACCTTCTAAGGAAAATGGACTGGGTTGAAGCCCAGCTGTTTGAAGTAGCCCAAGCTTCTAGGTACTTGGTCAGGTAGGGCAGAAGTACAGTAGTTTGCTCATGGTGATACAGATTGCAGCTGACCTACATAAAACTGGTGAAGCTGCCAAGGGTGCTGTGACTAGCTCTGAGGACTGGCTGAGACACCAGTGGGTGCTTCTGGATCAGATGGCACACACAGATGATGTGCAAGCGATTGAGAGACAACATGTTATCTTATGTCATTTATGTGACAGACGTTGCCCAGTGTCTCTGGAAGTATGTTTCTATCGTATTAAAAAAGGAAGAAGCAAACACGTGTATTACATCACCACACATGTGTGGAGGTTAGAAGACAACTTTTAATAGTTGTTCTCCATTGTAGGACTTGAATTCAGGTCAGGTCATCAGGCTTATCTGACATATATTCTTACCCACTTGGCCATCCTTGACTCTCTGTCTGCCTTCTAATTTAAAACATTTTAAAGGTTCATTTTTCTTTTTGCCTGCATGCATGTCTGTGCACCTCATGTATGCCTGGCGCCCATAGAAGCCAGAAGGGGGCATTGGATCCCCTGGAACTGGAGTTACAGGTGGTTGTAAGCTACCATGTGGGTCCTGGGAACTGGACACAGGTCCTCTGCAAGATTCACAAATGCCTTTAACTGCCCAGCCATCTCCCTACCTCCAATATTCTTTTATTACTTTTGATTAAGTTCCATTCATTTATTGAGTGCCTACTATGTAGCAGGCCCTCCTGGGTATAGTTCAGAATCTCTCCCTCTGCTGAGATTTCTTTACTAATGGCACCATCATTTTTGTAGAAAGCTGAACTTTCTGTTGCTTAAATGATTCTGTTGTCCCCTTCCCACAAGGCAACAGCTATTATGGACCTCAACAGAATGGCTCCCTTTAAAGCTCTTATCCATGGCCTTTTGAGGCATTCTTTCACCTGAGCAGGGTTAACTGCCAGTCTGACCACACCAGAAGCCTGACTCATACATTCGGTGACTCTCATCACCTTCACAATAAAGCTAAAGCGTTTCACCCTTTTCTTGACGTCCTCTTGTGACTTGGCCCCGTGTCTGTGGCTGTGTGAGCACTGAAAAGATGCCACAAGTGGGAAATCTCACACCTGACCTCATGCGACAGGTCAGTATGGTATGGGAGAGCAGGCACACTAAATGTCTCATATACAAATTCTCTTCAGGCTATATACATACAGTGCATGAACATGTAAACATTTCGGCCCAGGGACCAGCCCTAGGAACTCTCATTGTGTATACATGCAAGTGCTTTATTCCAGAATCTGGGAAGTTTGCCGTATCCAGATGATGTCTGCTTCTAAGCATTTTGGATAAGAGATACTGAACTTGTTTTGTCATAGTGAGCTACATGCTCTCAGTCTCACCTCCTGCAAAACTCAGCAAGGCACACCTGTTTCAGGGCCAGATGTTCCTCATCCTTGCTCCCAAAGCACCATGTGCACAGTCCTCAACACTCTAGTGGCCCATTGTGGTTGTGGTTGCTACCTCATCATCCCTGTACCCAAGACTGGGACAGCTTTGCACTAGACTGGTTTACTCATGGTTTTATGGTTTTGTGTTGCTGATGCTCTTTTTGACCACATGGTGTCACTATTGGGGCACCAGTGTCCTAGTTGGTGCTTCATATCATTACAACCCCCTCCTGCTGTGCCTCCCCCCCCCCCCCCGTTGGATTTTTCCAGAGATGGGGCAGTTGGCAGAACCTGCTTTGTGGGTCTGGGGCACAGGGGTGTTTTCAAAGAGGGAAACCAGACCAGAGGCTCCTGCAGGTTCCCAAACCGTAGTATCCACGTCACCCTGGCTTCATAGCTGCTATTGCTTTCTAGAGTCTGCCACCTCCAAGGAATTGGGATAAGCAGGGTGGACTTTATATCTCCAAGGAAATACAAAGTCTTGTCTTTTCAAGTCCCTAGGAATCCACCTGATTTCCCTCTTTTAACCCATAAACAAAAGGAATATTTTGCACATAAAACAGGTTCTTAACTTCTAGAACAGTCTAGAAAGCCTTGGCAAACTTCCAAGAGAAGGTGGAATGTTACTTTTTATTCCTTCCCAATTGGTCTACAATAGCAAATAATTGGATCAAGTTGAAACAAAATTAGTCCTGTTTCTCAATAGCACTTTGTTACATTATCTTCTCAATTGTCACAGCTATAATAATTGTTAACATAATTATGAATTCAAGGGCAAGGAGACACAGACAGCACCAGCTGTCTGATTGTACAGCATGGGCATGGCTGATGGATCACTACATTTCAGAGGTTGATTCCCAGCTCTTTGGGCCAGAAATGGAAATTTATTCGTTGATTCAGCATGATTTGGCTGATCTGAAATAGCAAAACTCAAAAAGATTGATTAACTTGAGTGCTAGTTTCATTAATTTCCCTACAAAATCTAACTGCCGAGTAAGGAGAACGGCCCAGCCAGAGAGATCATTTTTCATCCTGCCACAGAGCCTATAAGGGAAACCAGACAGATCTTAGAGCTTGTGAAGATAAGGTGACCAAACCTGTTTTCTGATATGGCATGTTTCCCACAATAAAAAACAGATGCATTCACAATAGGGGATTTCTCCTCTGGGTAAGTACGAGAAATTCTTTGAGCTTTCTTTTGTTGGAAGTGAGGGACTCATAACCTCAGCCATGAAGACCCCCTCAAAGCCAGTGTTTCCACTCAAGTGTCATGTTCAATCTCGTCTATTCTTAGCTGGTCTGCGCTTGAAAAAGTTCAGGGTCCATGAACTTGTTATCTTCTCTGGCAACTCTATTTTCAGCTATTTCGACTGATGGTGATGGTTAGTGTTTAGTCAACCTGACACAGATAGAGTTGTTTGGGAAGAGAGAACCTTAATTGAGATGGACTATAGGCCAGTCTGGGATCACTTTCTTGATTAATGATTGATGGGGGAGGACCTATTCAACCATGGGCAATATCATCCTGGGTAATTAGTGCAGGATTGTTTTCTATGATGAACGGTAAACTGTACTATAATAAATTTCTTCCTCCCTAGGTTGCTTTTGCTTATCACAGCAATAGGAAGCAAATGAAGACACTGACTAAAAACATTTTCTTTACCTGATATCAAAAATCTTTCCCTTTGATTTCCATGTGTGTCAGTTGCTTTTACTTCAGGGATATGTTGAGGAGACTCACCATAACAGGGGACACAGGACTGACTCATTTAGGATTTCTCCAGTCTCTTCTTGAGCCTAGGCATTGTTTGTTCTTGTGATGTGTTCATTAAATTCTTGACCTTTTCCCTGTAAATTATTGTACTTTATGAAATCTTTTAAACAGGTAGCTGGCAAGGTGCCATGAAAGCATGGATTTCATACTTAGAACATCTGGGCTTCATGGTTGGTACTTGCCAACTTTCTTTACCAGGTCTGTTATGAGAATTTAAGACTGCTCAATTGGGTCTGGGGAATAGTACAGTGGAAGAGCATTTGCTTAGTATGAGGTGCTAGATTCAATCCCCAGGACTGGAAAAATACTGTCCTTTTGATATT